CAACTAGAAACACAAGACACAGACAACACATGTTTTTAGTGGAGGAAGGATTCTTGGAGCTAAACTACTGGTGTTTCTTACATAGAAACTGTAGTTCTGACCTTCCTAGTCAGGACAGAAGAGGAAGTTCAAGGGAGTTTCCAGACTCCTGGAGAAAGCCACTACTACTAGGTGTTCTTTTACCCACTCTGTATTGAACCTGCAAAAGGTGGTGACACGCCTGCCTTGTGTGGAGAATACAGCTGACCCTTTTGGCAGCTTCTGGCTTCCTCTTTTTGGCACCCTGCATCTCAGGTGTGCTCAGGACCATTTGTTCACTTGGGGATTCGTGGTTTGGTTGAACACCACGCATTTCCTTCCCATCTCAGCCGGGAAGCTTTCTGATGTTGCCAGTGTCTCTACTTATCTGGCTTATGACCCTAATTGAATGTGTCCTGGCCATGTGCTGGGCACTCAGGCTGCTTTGCTCATGTCCTCTCCAGACAGAGCCTGGGGCTTTCTTTTTTAAATGTCTTTAAGGTCAGCCAGGAGCCCCAGGGCCTATGAGATAGAGCTCAGGTTCCCTTGATGTCAGCGAAAGATCATTTCCTGCAGGCTTGTCATTCGCCTAGTGTTTAGCTGACCCACGCTGCACATGTCTGCCTGAGGCTTTGCCTGCCATTCATGTCAAAGGTAGGTTTGTCTGTTTGAAGGAAATTTAATTTTACCTCTTGCCTTACTTCAGTGTGAGAGAAAAGATCTCCATAGCTCCTGCAACCACCAGGACCTTGAACAAAGGTACCATGGATGAGTAGTGTGCAGGATATTTTATCTGGAGCCAGTGGCCTTTTCCTGTGCTGCCTGAGGAGTCTGGCCTCTGGTGGCCAAATATTTGTGCTATTTCCCTGTCATCTTAGTTAGGGTTTCATTGCAGTGAAGGGACACCATGACCAAGGTAATTCTTATAAAGAAAACATTTAATTGGGGCTGGCTTATAGTTTCAGTGATTTAGTCCATTATCATCATAGCAGGAATCATGGCAGCACTCAGGCAGGCATGGTGCTAGAGAAGGAGCTGAGAGTTCTACATCTTGATCTGAAGGCAACCAGGAAAGACTACATATTCTGCACTGGGTGGAGCTTAAGTACAGGATCTCAAAGTCCACTTCTACAGTGACATGCTTCCTCCAACAAGGCCACACCTACTCCAAAGAGGCCACATCTCCAAAAGTGCCACTCCCTGGGCCAAGTATATTCAAACCACCGTAGACTGGAAATCAGAGCCAAGCAGTCTTATTAGCTATGTGAGTAACATTCGTGATCACTTTCATAAAAAGGCTTTGACTGTCACTTTAGGGAATGAAGATTCTTCTGTTCCAGAGGCATTGGTTTGAATCTGTTCCCAACACCTCCTCTATCACATGTTGATATGGTTTTGAGTTGGAGCTGTTGAGGAATCTGTCTGTTGGGTCCTTTTCATATCAAATTCAAAGGCAAGTAATTCTCTTGGACAGCTTGGTGCTAGGGATAGAGCTCAGGGTAAGGCCTGTAACTTCTCAAAGGGAAACAGGCCCTGGTTAACAGTCCCAGACAAGACTGGGGCCAAACTCTTCTTGTTGCTTATTCTGGAATGTCTTTTTTGAATATGATGTGATGATACAGAAGGAAGGGAGGTATATAGGTTTGCCAGGCAGGGAGGCCATCCTATCCTAGTCAGTTGTGACTTTATAGGACATCCTGCACTAGCCCGGTAAAAAGATATGGCACACATGGATTGCTGACTGCCAGTGGTTTTCAGATGCCAGGACTTGAGCCAGCTGGCTTCTCTTAGGTCAGGGCAACAAGGGCCTACTGTCTCACTCTAGTTCCAGGATCAGCCATTAGAAGCAATTAGACAAGGATCACCTGAGGCCCAGAAGAATCTCATTGACTGCTACTGGCTCCTCAGGTCAAATGTCCAGCATCAACTTTCTTGGTGCCTCATAGTAGCACAAGCCTTTCCCTGTTTGGCTGCTACAGGCTGAGGTGGGCTGGTCCCTGTGGTGTGATGGGAGATGGGAGCATATGGGGACTCCTGTCAGAGTGACATGCATGACACTGGATGCTGTGTTATAGGCAAGGTGAAACTAACACTTTTCACTCAGGTGAGGAAAGTCTAGAATGAATTATTGTCATTTTTACTGATGATAGAAAATTGTGAGGTGTAAAGCCAACTGCCACCTGTGACGACTCTGTGGAAACCCTGTTTTTGAGGAACAATAGTCTCTCCAGACACCTAGATCAGACTGGCCTTTAACTCACTGAGCTGCTCTTTCCTTTGCCTTTGGAGTGTTGGGATTACAGGCATTCGCTACCACATCCACCCAGAACCCTTTTCTCTTGATGGTCATCTCTTGATGCTTTGGGGCACCTCAGATCTGCCATAGTGGAGCTAGGAAACTGAGGTGGGTCCTGCTTGCTGGGTATTTATTGTATGCAGTGTGGAGAAGGCCAGCAGGTCAGGGCAGAGATGGGGACGTGGGATTTGCATGGAGCCATGTCACTGAAATCAGTATGAAAAAGCTGGTCTCAGCTATATGATACAATGTGTCATCTAAAAGCTGTTCTCATCCAAATGATACAATGTGTCATCCAAGCCTCACATCCACTCATAGTGTACAGAACGAGACCAATGGCTTTTCATGGTGCTTTAAAAGGGTTTGAACCTTGCTACATTTAGCTAGCAAGTTTTAAATTCAAATAAACACCTCGTTTCATGCTTTTTAATCTGGTGAATTTTTACTTGAAATTCATGATGGAATTTGCCAATGTAGAAGCCTTGCTCCCGTGGGAAACAAGGTCACCAAGTTTCTCAGTCTTGTGTGAGACTGGCACACTCTTTCAAGTTGAGAAGCTAAGGTGCTCAGTGGCTTTTGAGGAGTCCATGCGTGTCCCACTTAGGTTTCTCAATGGAGACAGGTTATATCAGAATCCTTGGATCCTAGCTGGGTCCTCTGAGATATCTTCTTTGGCTAGTGCCATCAAGGGCTGTCTGTGGGCCAAGGTCAAATGGATTATTTGGTTGACTGGTACAATCAGCAATGATAAACATGTGAGGGTTTTGGTTTTGCTCTTTAACAGTTAACATTTCATCTTAAAGAAATCTTACTCAAAAATTTCACGCGGAAATCTGTTTCCATCTTTTCCACAGAATATCTCCTCTAACATCGGGACTGCAGTCCTTCAGGGCAGTGATATTAGGTGGCAGCTACCTTATCATATGGGATCTGGTCCTCGGTCCCCATAGAACCTTTCAGTTTTGTTTCTCTGGCTGTGAGGTCATACATCAGTGGCTGTTTGTCCTGCTGCTATTTTTCTCACAGTTTGCATTTATATCTCCAAGGCCCTTGTTTCCAACTGATCCTGAGGCAAAGTCAACACGATTTCTATTTACAAGTCCAACCTGGTCTGCAGAGTATGGGCCAGGATTTAATACTGTCTGCTTTGGAGAATATGACCAGCTGCGGGTTCAGGGTTCTCGGAACAGTATCTTATGTTCTGAGCAAGCCACGTCACAAATCAAACACCATGTGATTCTTTCCTCCAACAACACCGTGGTGACAGGACCCATGTTGTCATTCTTTACTGGGGGGTAGTGTTGTACTGGGCACATGGCTGTTAGTAAATGTTTGCTAGATCAGATTATACTGAATGACTGTTTGGCCTCCTGCATATTGCTAGGTGTGATAGAAACAATCCTAGTTCTGGCATGATTCTGTTTTGTGTCTTGATCATAGAACCCATTAACCTGAAATTCCTATTATGTTAGAGGATCAGGGTTCTGACAGCTTCTTCCACAGTGAGAGCATAGCGTCTCATTCTTAAAAAGAGATAACCATGCTTGCCTATTCCAGCGCTTGTTGACCATCCACCATGCACAGGTAGCATACATGGAGATGATTGAGAGCAACGTGGCTCTTAATATTTAAGAGCAAAGCTTGGAATTAAGTATGACTGAAATTATGAAATTGAAAAGTAGTTTCTTGTCAAGAGATCATCCCAGTGACAGGGAGTCGAGCTTAGACAGATCCTCTGAGTCCACATATAGCTTGCCTTGGTGGGCCTTTTGTTCAGTGCTGGCCATGTTGAAGCAACTTCTGTCCTTGCCAGCTGAAAATGGCTCCTACTGCATCGTCTCCTCTTGGAGAGACATTAATTCTTGGACATGAAGTATCTGTCAGTCATAGTTTTACCATGAAAAATGAGCAAGTAGTTTTTTAAAAAAATAATAAAATATCCACAGTTAATTGAGATATGCAGGGTTATAGCTGTAGATGTAATGCAGTCCTCTTGTGTGACACAGCCTTATGTGCACATATACATGTGTGTAAACTTACAAGGAAAAGTAATTGCAGGCTTTGAATAGTTTCAATGGCTTTCTTCCTTTTGGTTCCAGTTTCCCCTAATTCTGTTTTCTGTTTTGTTTTTGTTTTGTTTTGTTTGTTTTTTCGAGACAGGGTTTCTCTGTGTAGCCCTGGCTGTCCTGGAACTCACTCTGTAGACCAGGCTGGCCTCAAACTCAGAAATCCACCTGCCTCTGCCTCCCAAGTGCTGGGATTAAAGGCGTGTGCCACCACTGCCCGGCACCCCTAATTCTTTCTTGCAATGGCAGTGCTGTGTATCATTGCAGAAGTGATGGGGACATATATGTAAACGTCCAGATCATATGGGTGGCCATCTCTAGGCTCCCATGGCTGGAGATTGTCTCTCTAGGTCCACGTGTAATGCTGCCATCAGACTCAGATGGAAGTGAGATGCAGCCACTGATAGAGAAATGGTTTTGATTTCTGGAGCATCTAGGCAGCTTTCTGGGATGGATAAGCCATGTGGGGCACAGACTGAAACCGGATATTAGCTGCTCGGGTGCAGGCCCCAGACTTCCTTTCATCTTCTTGAATCAGCACCGCAGTGTCTGTGATTATTAGTTTTTTCTGGCATGTGACTCCCACAGCACTGATAAGGTGTCCCTTTCATAAATCCACAGGCGTTGCTTTCCTGCCAGCGAGCATCTCTTATCTCATTGGAACCAATATTTTTGGGATACTTGCACACAAAATGGGAAGGTAAGATGAAATAAAAGCATTCACTTATTATCAGAATGAGATGCTTTGAAGAAATTCAGTGTTAGCTATTACAAGTAACTGTTGTGATTTTCATTGAAGATGTGTTTTGGGAAACATGGTGTAAGTGTTCATTTATTGATGAGCCTTTTCTTTGATAGGTGGCTGTGTGCTCTTCTGGGAATGGTAATTGTCGGAATCAGCATTTTATGTGTGAGTAAAAGATTGCACCTGACAGGTGGTTGCGGGATAGGAGTGTGTGGGACTGAAGCTCTTGTCTCGGGTGAGACTCACCAGGCCATGTTTTACAACAGTTTGAGTTTCTTAATATTTGGTTTTATTGTGTCCTTCATTTTACTCTAGTTTTAAAAAGTCATTTTAAACATTTCTGGAAAGACTCCAGTGGGTATATTATTTAATTTTAGGTCAGATGGTATTTAAGATGTTTTATTATAGCCAGGGCTACACAGAGAAACCCTGTCTCGAAAAAACCAAAAAAAAAAAAAAAAAAGATGTTTTATTATGTAGTTTACCAAGTTATTTCATTATTTTATTTTTTTAAAGTTTTATTTTTAAATTTTTTTTTTCTTAAGGCCTCATTGTGTAACTCGGCCTGACCTAGAACTCATAGCAATTCTCCTTGCCTCATTCTTATAAGTGCTGAGATTTATAGGCATGGACGATGAAACATTTACAGTGTCTTAAATTCTTAATGGCAACTACCCCGAAAAACAGTGTGATGTTACCCCAGAATAAACATCGTTTAGTAGCCAATGTCTCCTCAATATGGCTGTGGAAGCTGAGGGCGGATGAAGCAGGCTTTGTGGGGAACCATTTAATAAGTTCTCACAGTAGCCAGAGTTTCCATTTCAGGTGCTAACATACATTTATTTCCTGTTTGCCCCAGACATCTCATGCATGGTAGCCAAGTACTTGCCACTGGACCACACCCTCAATCTAGGCTTTGGCTTTTAAAGATTAGGGTGGCAGCCCCCTTCCTTTCTCTGCTCCCACTCCTTTAAAAGGGGAATAGGTCTGTTAGGCCCAGATAAAAAGTATTTTAAGGCTTTCCCCAGGATGATTTATTAGAGTCTGCATCTTTTATTTTTAGCACATTAACTTCCTCTTACAGATTCCTTTTGCAAAAAATATCTACGGACTCATCGCTCCCAACTTTGGAGTTGGCTTTGCAATTGGTAAGTCACTCAGTCCTCAGGCCTCAATCTGGAACTGCCCTCTCTCGAGTGGAGATTCTCTTCGTGAAGAGTGAACAGACGATAGATAGGTGCAGAGCCAGCATTTCCGGAAGCTGCCGTGGAGGCTGCCATGAGAATAGCTCGACTCCATAGTTCCAGTCCATGAAGATGCTTGCTGGAAGTCAGGTGGTACTGGCTACAACACCGTGCTCTAGCAAACCCACAGCTCCTCTTGTGTCGCACATTTGAATGGGTTCAAACTTGAGAGCAGGCCTTCCCAAATGAGACTGGGGACAGACTTCCCATGTTTTTTTTGGTTTTGTTTTTTGTTTAGCTTGGCTTTTTGATTTTGCTTTTGTTATTTATAAGGCTTGATAAAGAACATGCAGGCCGGTAAGGTACCATGCTATGCACCCTGTGCCCTGAAAGGGGTTTTTACAGGCCAAGGAAAATAAAGCATTAGAGGAATTCTGTCCTGATGATATGCTTTTGTTTCTCACTTATAAATCCTGATGGATCATGATAAAAGTAAAGGCCAAAATCTATTATATCATATTATGAGGAATTTAGTCTTTGAGTGGTATAGCAGAAAGAATGAATGGAATATTTTCTGACCCTCCAGAGGAGGTTAGGTGGCCTTGCCATCTTATGTCTCCTTATAGACCTTCACAACTAGTCCCTGTGTAATTCCTTCTTCAACTCTTTGCTTAATATCCAACTCTTCTGTTTTGCTCCATCTATTTTTTCTCGGCAGAAGGCTACCCAAACCAGGTGATCAGCCAATACAGAGAGACAGAGAGAGACAGAGAGAGAGAGACAGAAAGAGACAGAGAGAGAGAGAGAGAGACAGAGAGAGACAGAGAGAGAGAGACAGAGAGAGACAGAGAGAGAAAGAGACAGAGAGAGAAAGAGACAGAGAGAGACAGAGAGAGACAGAGAGAGAAAGAGACAGAGAGAGACAGAGAGAGACAGAGAGAGAAAGAGACAGAGAGAGACAGAGAGAGAGACAGAGAGAGA